TACTTTTATTAAAAACAGCATTGCGATAATTTATTTATTATACTTTAGTTATATCTAATGAAAATATAAACAATTAGGCAGTTGAGATGTACTATAACATTTACCAATTTACTAATGCATATTAAGAGTGTGAAGGCAAAATAAGACCAAACAAGTTTTATTTACTAATTTAATTCAATTAAACATGTTTATTAATTGGGGGAAGCTGGTTCGAGTCACAGCTGAGTCAGTGGGCATTTCTCTGTGGAGTTTGCATGTTCTCCCCGTGTTGGTGTGGGTCCCCTACAGTCCAAACACATGCGCTATAGGGGAATTGATGAACTAAATTGGATGTGTATGAGTGAGTGTGTGTGTTTGTATGAGTGTTTATGGGTGTTTCCCAATACTGGGTTGCGGCAGGAAAGGCATCCGCTGCGTAAGACATATGTTAGAATAGTTAGCGGTTCATTCCGCTGTGATGAATAATGGACTAAGCTAAAGTAAAATGAATGAATGTTCATTAATTGTAACTTTATTAAACAAAATTGTAATTTAAAGCAATATTTGAATATAAATGTAATTTTTTTAAATTAAATTTTATGTATTTTCCTCCCTTTTTTAAACAACTTTTTTTTTAAGTTAAGTTATATTTTGTGAAAATATGAACAAGATTTACTTTTACATTTACTAACACATATTAAGAGTGTGTAGGCTTAATAAAAGCAATAAAAATTCAATTAAAAATGGTAATTATGTGAATTTATTAAACTTAATCTTACTTTAATGTAATTTTTTTTGTCATTTAAACTGTTTATATACCTTGGTCGGACATGTGATTCCAAAAAAGTTGTGTTCCTTTAACTGATGCAGCTGCAGCTCAGTCCTGCAATGAGAAGACAAGACATAAACGCTCAAATCTAAACAGGAAATGACATCAGATGAGATCCTGCCCACTCTGGAGCTTTTGTTGTAATGCAGAGCTATGAAAAGACCAGGCGTTGTGCCAGTGCGTGCCTCTGAGGGGAAACCAAACCCAAAAACAAAGCCCTGACAATGGGCTGAATGATCTGGGGTTAGCATCTAATAATGCAGCAGTCGGAGCTGTGAGGAATGAAGACAGGAAACCAGAAACAGGCTTAAATATGAAAGCAGTCTGGCAGACACTGCAGAACTGACCTCAGATCTGAGCTCAGGCCTGAGAGCATCTGGGAGAAAACCAGGAAGTTACTCTCTCCATCCGGCCGCTGGCAAACCCTCCACTTCTCCAGCAGCATCGTCTATAACACACAGACAGGAGATTAGATAGATAGATAGATAGATAGATAGATAGATAGATAGATAGACAGACAGACAGACAGATAGACAGACAGATAGATAGATAGATAGAACAGCTGACCTGCAGATGTGCGGCAGCAGCGAGTCCAGCGTGGTTGAAGTCCACAGACAGCACCATGGCGAATCGAGACGAGGCCTCACTGTGAGTTGAGCTCACACAACCGAACGAACGCAGCACTGTAAACACTGCCTGCAGACGCTCTACTGCAGAGACACACACACACACACACATACACACACACATATAAACACACACAACTATTAACTTCACAAGTGACAAACTGAACTAAACGTTGATAAACACATCATAGTGAGAAAGACGCTGCTGTAATCACTGGATCAGAGCCTGTAAGCAGCAACAGAGAAACACTCGACGCCTTATTTTCTAACACATACAGCCTAGTTTGCCTATTTTGTGTCTTTTAATCGCTGTGGTGTTCATACTACGCAACAGATAGATGGATGGATGAATAGATGGATGAATAGATGGATTAATCGATGGATGGATGGATCGAAGGACGAAGGGATGGATGGATGAACGAAAGGATGAATGGATGGATGGATGGATGGATGGATGAATGGATGGATGGATGGATAGATGGATAAATGAATGGATGGATGGATGAATGGATGGAAAGGACGAAGGGATGGATAGATGGATGGATGAATGGAAGGATGAATGGAAGGATGAATGGATGGATGGATGGATGAATAGATGAATGAATTGATGAATGGATGGATGGATCGATGGACAGATGGATGGATAAATGGATGAATGAATGGATGGAGGAATGGATGGATGGATAAATGAATG